AACCCACATCAACTGAATGAATGAACAAAGTGCTCTCTGACAGCAAATTGCTTGTTCTGCAGGCCACTCATTGTTCAAAATATCCCTCTTCAACTCCTACGCTAAATACACATATACACACATTCTACTAATTGAACTAATTGATAACTATTTCTCACATATTTGCTTAATTAGCTTGCAGTGACCTCTGCAAAAACACTGGCCTCTGATGACTATAAGAGGTAGTTTTTGGCATGGACACCAAAGCATCAAAGAGTCAGCTGGAACCAAGGAAAGCAATAATACAACTGGTTTTAATTACTTGTGACAGGCACAGAATATATCTGACACAGGCCTTCACCACAATACATCACTCAAAGTAGGCCAGTCACAGGAAATGGTAGAGGGTAAAGAAAAACAAGATGGGGCCAAAACGTGTCCTTAATACAAAGCAGATCATCTTTCACATCGATGACTTTATTCATTTTGTCTTTTTTTTTTTTTATGGTCTCAAATCCATAAAATTGCTGACCCTTTAAGATTTCACATACTTCCTCGCTGGTGCTTCAGAGTGGTGGCTCCAGTTCTTGAAAAAAAAAGTAGGTGAAGATTGCACCCATCTACAAATCACTGTATAAACCAAGGGGTTCTCCAAAGTTCACCTAGAATTATAGGCATGTTTGCAATCAATTCATCTGAGAAGCACAGGTGAACACCTTTTACTTCAACATTCACCAAAGGATTGACTTCATCTATAATCGAAATCAGTTTCAGACCTTTTGATTAGCAGCAAATACTTGAGGCTTAGGAGTTGCCTTGTTATGACCTACTCTCCATTTAAATGTATCTCTTATCAGATGCATCCACTCCTCTGATCAAGACAAGGGCTTTGAGTTGGCCAGATATTTGGATTGACTCCTATCGAGAAAAGATATCTCCTGACTAGGCATGATTTTACTTTAAGACCTGATCCTCTGGCTAGATACTCCTCCCCGCTGCGCTGAGAGCTGCACTCTCTGCCTGCTCTTTCTCAGCACTCCCTGCTCCTCGCCAGCACTGCTGCTCACTGCTGACAGGCCAGGTGCTGTCCTTGCTATGGAACTTCAAAGCCCTTGTTTTCCCTGCAGCTTGCTCTGATTGCTGTTCGCTGCCTCCCAAACTGAGACTGCCCCTTGTGCAGCTCTGTTCTCTCTTTCAATGGAAGTATTGACTCCCTGTAGTGTACTAGGTAGGGCCTGTGCTACGGTCTGAGAAAGTGAGAGCCTAAACATGAATGCTCCATCCAGGAGTTTGGGATGTAAGAGAGGAAATGGCTGGAAATGGCAACATCGAATACCAGCACAGCTGCACTTAGGTCAGTTCCAACTCATGGTGACCCCATGTGTGTCACAGTAGAACTGTGTTCTGTAGGCTTTCCCGTGCTTGATTTGGGGGAATACATTGACAGGCATTTCAGGCACTTCTGAGTAGACTCAACCACCTCTCAGTTAGCCAGGTGTTAACCAGTTGCACCATCCAAGAATATAATGTCATGGGAAAGGGGATGTCTTGTGTTAAGTAGAGGACTCAATGACAACACATAGTAGGAATACCTTGAGGCATCCCTGCACCAGGATTGAGGGATGTTTTCCTGGCATCAGTAATATCAAAACATTCTGGGGTAGACAAACGAGAATGAAAGATATTCCTGGCTGAGGAAATAACTTCTACAAATACCCTGTTTCACAAATCAGGACTCCGTTAGGGAGCTACAAATATTTCAATACAGCTGCAGAGAGAACAGAAAAATGAGGCTGGAGCAGGAATGCCCGCTATTCTTAAGAGATTGGAATTCATCCTTAGGTGATAGGAACTCATTTAGGGTTTCTATAAAAAGCCTCGCTTGCTGAAAGCAGAGGACTTGAAGCATTTGTTGATGAAAACCAAATACTACAGCCTTCTGTATGAACTATAATTCAAAGCAAAGAGAACCTTTTCCTCACAACTGGGCCAACAGACAGCATTGTGATAAATGGAGAAAAGATTGAAGTTGTCAAGGATTTTGTTTTGCTTGGATCCACAATCAGCACTCAGAAGCAGCAATCCAGAAACCGCACAATGGATTGTGTTAGGCAAATGTGTTACGTGTTAAAGACTAAGATGTGTCTGAAGCAAGTCATGGTGTTTTCAAGTGTTATACACGGGGTTGCTATAAGTTGAAGTGCACTCGAAGGCACCTAACCGCTGCTACAATAGTCAACTTTGTATTTTAGAAAGGCTGGGGACTGCAACAATGAGCTCAAACATAACAATAATTTTTAGGAGTTGGGAAACTTTAAAGCAGGGTGCTCACAATTTTTCAGCGTGCGAGCTACACATAAAATGATCAAGTCAAAATGATCTAGCAACTACAAAAATGCAAAACATATATATTTTTATTTATTTTTTACATTTATTCATAGATGCATTAATTCTTTATATGTACAATGTATGTTTATGTATCTTGCATAATCTCATGAGTCCATATTGAACAACACAACACAATTAACTATGTACGTTTTTTGTCGTGACCTGAGTTTATTCTGATGGCTTCCACTGAATGGAATGAGCCAGGGATGCATAGTCTGGACAGTAGCTGCTGACAGCCAGCCTCCAGGAAACTTCCAAATGATCATCAGTCATGGTGGAACGGTACTTGGACCTAATGATCTTTATGTGGGAAAAGGCTGACTCACATAAATAAGAAGAGCCAAATAATGCAGTCAAGGAGGTAGCACATTTTCTCCTGTTTGGGTGCTTTCCCTCTGCGAGTCAGTTCCAGACCTGTTCATGCGCTCTGGACTCCAGCTGAATGTTGGCTTGTAGTATCAAAATCTCCCATTCCAGATGAAAGTGATATGTTTTTGTCCTCTTACTTGGTCCAGCTCCCCCACTCATTTTAATACCCTTTCTTATGTTTAAAAAACCAAGGTCTAAACATTGGCGATAACTTAGTTTGTCAGTTTTGAGCGCACGTAGCGCAGTTGTTTGCGCATGCGTTTGACACCGAAGACTGCATCTGATTGGCTGCGCTGTATATCAATTAAGTGGCGGGATTGATGATAGATTTACGTCTATTTTTTTAATGCCATGCGATCTACCACACTACATTTGTGATCGACTGGTAGATCGCGATCAATGTATTGAGCACCCCTGGTTTAAAACAATAAAGATCTGGAAAGTTTTTACACAGGGAGAGAAACTGGACTATTGCTAGTTTCAAGGACTCAACTGAGTTAAAGATTATATTTAGATCCACAGGACAATTCTGCTATATTCTCCATAAGCTCAGAAACCCGGAAGGAGAGAGAATTGGCAGTTGTGTAAATCAGTGTCCGGTTATTAGTATCGCAGAATGTCCAGAGGTTAGCGATTGAGAGCACTAGTATAAAAGAAAACAAATAGAGGGATGGGTCTAAAATAAGATTCTGCCAAGTAACCCCAGGATTTATAGACACAAAGGTAAATTTTTTAAAATCACTGCTACTAAGGGCCCAATTTATACATGTGGAGATTTATGCCAAAGCGTGTTTAAACTTCTCTGTGCAACCAGTGGCTGGCTGCTGAATTTCGCAGTAGTGCACTTGACTCAGTTGCATTAGAACGCCTTCCTCAAAAGACCCGATCTAAGCAAAATACCCCACTTCTACCGGGTCAAAGTAATTAGGTCATCCCCGAAGGTTATGTTCTTTGGAATACCAAAAGAGTCACCTTGTTAGATTTTCTTGAAGGATTAAAAAGAAAAAAATAACAACCTTGTAGAAATCAACTTGATTCTGCTCTAATTGGCAGAGTAGAATTTTTCATAAGAAATCCAAGAGAATAAATCTTTCCAGAAGCAGACTGCCACACCTTTCTTTAGCATCCAAAAGCTTTAATCCACTCTCAGCTTCCTTTTGTGGGGGCATCAATGTCCAGTCAGCAAAACCATTCATGCCAGCTGACATCACATCTCACTAAAGAGAAGGAGTTCCAGTCACCAAGTTGTTTGTTGTCGTTGTTGGGTGTAATCGAGTTGGTTCCAACCCATAGCAACCCTGTGCACAACAGAATGAAACATTGCCTGATCCCGTACCATCTTCATCATTTTTCTGATGTTTGAGCCCATTGTTGCAGCTACTGTGTCAATCAATCAAAGGCCTTCCTCTTTTTCGTTGCCCCTCTACTTTACCAAGTATGATGTCCTTCTCCAAAGACTGGTCTATTCTGACAACATGTCCAACATACGTGAGATGAAGTCTCTCCATCTCTGCTTCTAAGGAGCATGCTGGCTGTACTTCTTCCAAGACGAATTTATTTGTGCATTTGGCAATTCATGGTACTTTGAATAGTCTTCACCAGCACTATAGTTCAAATGCATTGATTCTTCTTCCGTCTTCCTTTCAATGTCCAATCATCACATGCATATGAGAAGATTGAAAATACCTTGGGTTGGGTCAGGCACACCTTAGTCTTCAAAGTAATATTCTTGCTTTTCAACACTTTAACGAGGTCTTGTACAGCAGATTTACCTAATGCAATGTGTCATTTGATCACTTGACTAATCATTACATTGGGGTGAATTAATTAAATGTTCAATCAAATATAGCAGGTTAATTTTTAAGTATGGCCCACGAATGATGACCAATATACTAATGAACCTTGGGAGGGTAGGCGTTGAGTTAGTGTGCTGGATGTATTTTTCCCATACACTGAAAAGCCACCAAAGTTATACTATAATATTTTATAACCGTCCTCTGGAGTTAGAGATATGGCTTTAAAAGTCCATATTTATAGTGGTAGTATATCCACCATGTAGATCTCTTTTACTTCAACTGACTTTTTGTATTTCATAGAAGACTGAATATAAATATCAAAAAATTCCTATCTTCTTCAAAATGGAGTGTTCAAAGACAGTTCAATTTAAAGATACTGATAATCAGTGAAATTTCATTTTATTTTTACATTTTATAGATTGTTCTTATTTGAACCAACGCCATAGGTTAATCCAGCAAGTCCAGTTATTTCCTTGTCCATTTCCTTGGCTGTTGCCCTGTACTTCCCACTGCACGCTCATATAAATCAAAGAACAGGAACAGCAGCAACGAAGTAAGCAGTGTTGGAAACCAATGGCTAAAATTACACTGTTAACAACATTTACTTATATGTTCAAGGCTGGAATTTCAGGGGTACAATATTTATTCCTGAAAGGGGACACTTCCCCATCACTGCAGACTTCTGTTATCAAATTTCCCCCATATGACATCACTGGCTAATGAAACTGACCCAAAATAGAAAGTGAATTCAATCACTTTTTCTGCCCAGAGAAAGGCTAAAGACTAAATTAAGAAATGGGCTTGTTTTCACAAGATTATTTAGACCAGTTCCCTCTTAATGAAGGGGGTATTTTTATCTATTTGTTCCAAAGGTTGCTGACCTGAGACTGGGGAAGGGTCTCCAGACTTCCCCCACCCTTCCTAGACCCTGATGTAATGCAAATCTTCAGGAACCAAGGCAGTTTAGACTTTAAGACATTGCTCCCTTTGCTGTTTTTGTGCCACTTGTAGTATAGATGTATTCAAATACTTAAAACATTTTCCCCTAGTGTTTCTTTCAGAAAATCCACACTGTGCATGCACTTATATCATTAATGAAAACTTGTCAAAACTTTATATATCACGAGTCATTTCCATTATACATTATGTCTTCTCTCTATCCCTCTCATAATTACAGAGAGCACCTAGAAGAACGGCACCCTCTCTCAAAGCACCACTGCCCAGTTCAACCCAGTCCTTTCAGGAGTGCCTATGGCAGCGCAAAGCGAACATCCACACCGGGATGCAATGCTCGGGGAAACCCTCCTGCTTCTCCTGACCCAGCACCACCAGCCCACTCTTCCTCATGAGGCTCCGGAGGATATCCATGTCCCTCGTCACGCTGCTGTCTGAGAGATCGAAAACACAGCCCTCCCGTGCCACATTGTCCTTCAGTACGATGACACCGTTGTCTTTCAGGCCATCTCCGCACCGGGAAAGAAATGCAAGAAGGTCCTTATCAGTTAGATACCCTACATGGGGGAGGGAGGATATTGGGGGAGTGGGGGTGGGGTGGGGGACAAGTGGATAGAGAGACAGGGTGAAATTGTGGGTCAGGAGGGAGATAAGAAAGAACACAGGGAGGATCAGAAGGAATGAGAGATTCGTTCACTCTTTCTTGAATTATTTAGTAGCCTGGATTGCTTTAGCTCCAGCGCACTCTGAGAATTTAGATGAGGGGATACCTCTTTTATCTAGGAGCTCTGACTCCTTCCTGTAATACAGGTATTATGCTTCCTGGACTAACTGCTTCACAGGCATGAAATTAAATTGCTGTGCACCCCAAGGGACTCCCTTCCACATCCCCAGAAAATCCAACTCTATCCTTTTTCGCCTTCTCTCTCTCTATATATGTGTGTGTGTGTGTATGTATATGTATATGTATATATATATGTATATATATATATAGTGTATATACACAACACACACACACAGTGAGACTCACTCACTAACGTCTCATTTCCGGGGGGTTAACATTGTGGTGCTCCACCCTTAGATTTTTTCAAGAGCTTAAATTTCATCTAGGACTTTACACTGATTTAGGTAAACTCTCTTCTTCTAAGGGGAAATTGTCAGGCTTAAACAGACCTTGTTGCACAAGGAATCTGGGGCACCAGAGCTTTGAGATACTTAATTTACATGATACTGCTCTAAGCACAAAGGCTCCTAAATCTCTTGTTCTCTCTCCTACTTTCCAAATCCTCAGTCTAGTCCTAAACCTGTTTTTTCTCTAGCTGGGAAGGAAGAAGGGTGGACTCAATGCCATGCAGAACTAACCAGAGACCCACTGAATCCAGATGACATCATATTTTCCAAATGGCGGTGTAAATTCTTGTAGGCTGTAGCAGTGGTAGCTGTCTACCTTGTCCCCTTTGACCTGCAGGTAGTTTGGGGCTTCAAGAAGAAAAGATTCCATCATGTCCACTAATTCCACGCTGTGGAAAACTGGCAACAAGACATGTTTGCTGACTCTTCCAATCCCAGAACCGCAATCCAAGGCACAGTCCGTTCCAGCTTTTCCCGGACCCTGCAGAAAAGGACCTTGTGGGATGCTCCAAAGACAGTTACTTACTTGCATGGGAAGGGACGGGGGCATCCAACTAACTTAACTCAACCTCATTGAGGTCGATTATCAAATAAGGAAATGCGCAATCTTTAGTGTATAATTCAATGAGTTTTGGCAAGTGGGAAGGACCCAGGTTATCACAGCTATAATCAAAGTATACAGGTTTCATTACCTTTTTCAAAATCTCCAATCATTTACAGTTTTACATCATTTTTTCCAAGTATAAATCATTTAAGATTGAAAAATACAATTCTAAAAGTTATATGCTTAAAAATATCGTTTTTTTCCCACCTCCCCCCAAAAAAGGTCATCGGCAGCCTTATGAAGATAGAAATTTGGTGGCTATGAATTTGAGTTGAATGTAATCACAGATAATGGGCCTACTCTATAGGTCATAACTCTAGGGGGTAAAAAAGAGTAAAGTATGGAGAATCTTTGAGTGTTAAAATTAGAAAATTTATTCACTGGAAATATTTCAATTCATACCGGAAGATTGAAATTTCATTTTTTCAAAAACAGATTTCAGGGGCTCTGAATGGCCTACCCCTCTTCTGTAGGTAGTGAACTTCGGAACATACCTGAGGGCATGTCAATGGCCCCATTCTTAGGCCAAGATTTTATTTTCAATCCAGCCCTCGTGGCACAAAGCACTGTCTTAGTGGAAAGGGGAGATTCCACTGAAGTCTCCTTTCATGCTAAAGATCCACTTTTGCTTTGGGACTGAACAATGACTTGATTTACTGGGCATAAAACCCTTAAAAGTGACTTTTTAAAAGTTGCACACTGCATTAATTGGGGGTAGGGGGGCAGGAGGGTTAAAGGGGTAGAGGTATTTAACTGATGCCAACTTTCTCAGACTTGATTTTGTAAAGTTAAAGAAAACATTTTCTGATTTGAAACCTCAGCTGGTCCAAATTATTTGGTCATAATTGGGATGGCTGCTAAATAGATTTTGTGCTAGAAATTACAGTAACAAGATACTTAAAGTTGCCAATCAATGTCTTAAAGAGAAAGGCTACTCTTGATTTCTCAGGAACTAAGGATTAAAAATAACATTTGGCTGAAGATTAAAGATGAAGTATGAGCTGAAGAACTTATCAGAAAAGATGCTTTCCAATCCAAAGGACTTCCTTACAGCTAGAAAGGTAAAACAAAGAACAAAAGGTGAACGCACTGGAGCTTCTTTTCTGAAAGAATAATAATCATGATTTATCAGGGCCTCATATAAACCAAAGTCTTCAGATCAACTATAGTAATCAAAATAACTCTACAAGACAAGTATTATTAACTCAAGATTCTAATATCACACAGCTAAGGGTAGAACTAGGATTAGAACTCAGGAGTGTTCACATGTACATTAGGGATGTCATTTCAACTGAAAATTCTTAATCCCTTACTCACTGTCTGTGAGTCAATTCCAATTCATGGCGATCCTGTGGGACAAAATAGAACTGGTCACTTGGAGTTCCAATTCTATAAATCTTTGTGGGAGTATCTTTTTCCTACAGAGTGACTATTGGATTCAAATTATTTACCTTGTGTTTAGCAGCTAATGGGTAACCCACTATACCACTAGGGCTCCTTTTTATTCATTGGTCTCACTTACTGCCAGTGAGTTCATTTTCACTTATAGCAGCAACCATAGAAGATACAGTAGCTCTGCCCTGTGGCTTTCTAAGACTGTATATCTTTAGGGAAGTAGAAAGCTTCATCTTTCTCCCTTTGAGCAGCTTGTGATCTTGAACTGCTGACCTCGAACCATGATTCACAGCCCAACACATTGTCCACTATGCCACTAGGACTCCTTTTTCTTCACTAGTAGTATATGTCACTGCTGTATTAAAAAGGATTCTAGGCTTCTTTCAGACACAGCAGAACTGAGGACTATTATTGCTGAATGATGTCCACTTTATATAAGGGAAGGGAAGGTGTAGTACAAAGCCACATGTGTTTCATTCCTTATTCTATGCTGCTACCCTCATTCAAATATAAAATTTAAATCAAGCTGATTCCGAAAAAGGCCTAAGCAAAAATGTTACATTAAGAAGGTTGCAAAGGGCAAAAAAGGGGAAATATATCTATGTACATATATTTATAGGTTTAGTATTAAAGTAGCAGAGGGACATTGGGCCTTACTCAAGTAATCCCTCAACACAATAACACTTTGTTCTATTAAACTGGCATTCCATGATGCTCATCTTCTCAACATGATCGCTGAAGACAAAGTGGGTACATAAGCAAATGTAGTGAAAAACTGATGGTGCCTGGCTATCAAAAGATATAGCATCTGGGTCTTAAAGGCTTGAAGATAAACAAGCAGCCATCTAGCTGAGAAGTAACAAAGCCCACATGGAAGGAGCACACCAGCCTGTGTAACCACCAGGTGTCGATAGGATCAGGTATCAGGCATCAAAGACCCAGAGCAAAAAATCATATCATTGTGAATGAGGGGGAGTGCAGAGTGGAGACACAAAACCCATCTGTTGGCAATTGAACATCTCCTCACAGAAGGGTCCCAAGTAGGAGACAAGCAAGCCAGGGTGCAGTATAGCACCGATAAGACATACAAATTTCCTTTAGTTCTTTAATGCTTCCTCCCCCCTACTATCATAACCCCAATTCTACCTTACAGATCTGGCTAGACCAGAGCATATACATATGGGTACAGATAAGAGCTGGAAACACAGGAAATCCAGGACAGATAAACCCCTATACCAGGAGTGGAAGGGGAAGGTGAGGGACATAGGGGGAACCGACCACAAGTGGGTGATGGGAGACATTGGTCAGTGTAAGACATGAAAACATAACAATAATTTATAAATTATCATGGGTTCATGAGGGAAGGGGAAAAAATGAGGACCTGGTACCAAGGGCTTAAGTAGAAAGAAAATGTTTTGACAATGATGATGGCAACAAATGTACAAATGTGCCTGACACAATGGATGGATGGACTGTGATTTTTCAGAAGTAGATGTCTAGATCTTTTTTTTTCAAAGTGCCCCTGTGTAGACTCCACCTTCCAGACTTCTGGTTAGCAACCTTTTGTGTTATTCAGGGATTTCATGCTTATCCATGCTTTACCCTAAAAGCTTCTATGAGGTGGGTTGCTCTTGTGCATATAGCCAGTGGTCTTAGAAGTAGAACCATGATAATAAGCAGGAAGATTTCTGCTAGAGGATTTCAAGAAAGTTTAAAACAACCCGACTCCTTTTTTCTCAATAGACAGATCATTGTGAAGCTGCTCTGGCTGGAATCAGACAGAGCCTCACTCACTCAGCTTCCTCTTATGGTCCAGGAAGTCCTTGAGTGCCATTCCAGAGAACCATAAACCGAAGTGTCTAAACCACTGAAGTCTAATTCTCCTAGCTCTTCCCATAGAGACCTAGAATTCCCTTGAAAAGTCACCTGTAATTTGTTCTTTACTCCTCAGTTTAGATGAGTAATATTTGACTACAGATATTTTTGAAGCAATGGTGATTTACACATTTCAAACATGCCTCAAACCCTACGGACCTCCAGCATCTCCAGTTAGTGCTCCGCTCCATTTTCCCATTTTTCTCTAAATGGTTGGCATTGCCCTTCATCTGGCATCCGAGTTCATTCTCTGTCTCTCACACAAACCAGCTAAAAGATTTAGGAACTTCATTTCCGTTCTGACTCTGTCTATATATACTGCTTTAAAGAACATTATTTGAAACTCATCCAGTAAAGTTTAAGTCCGAAATGAAAATACTTCCTGACACCATATAAAAATTGTGAAATATATCAAGTTAGTCTCAGATGGTTTAGCCATCCAATCTCTAAGAAACATCAAAAAATAAATAGCACCCGAGACTGGTTACTTTTTATAAATTGCTGTTTCCCCCACACTGGCCATCCAGATGCTTCTGACTCATGGTGACCTCATGTCTGCAGAGTAGAGCTGCTGTGAAAGGCTTTCAAGGCTCGGATCGTTCAGAAGCAGGTTCCCACGCCTATCTTCCCAGGCACCTTTGGATGGAGCTGCATCACGAACCTTTAAGTTAAGAGTCAAGTGTTTCACTATCTGTACCACTAAAGGGGCTTCCTTTTCAGCAGTAGAAAGGAACATTGGTAAGTTAGCAGCTATCCCGTTGACATCATCTTGGTAGCATTTGTGTTTTGCTAAAGTAAACACATTTGCAACAAGTTTAAATACCTCTCCCAATGTCCCAAGTCACTAAGAGTTAAAGAAAAATGAAAAGTTTAAATTAAACAACCTGCTTTTTCCCAGTCGACACAAGAATAAACTATGTCAGATACTCACATTCCCTAATGCTTGAATCGTGACCTGGACACTAATTTAGTGGGTTATTAAGGTAAAAGTACCAAAATATCACTCCTTAAAAATGACTGTTTGTACTTAGTTAGAGGTCACAACATCACAATGAGCCTTGTCTACTAAGAAGGACTGCTTATATTTGTTTGGAAAGAGCATGCTGCCTCTTCTCCAACATAAATAAGCAAGCACATGGCTGTTGCCTTTCCCAGGTCGGTGGGCGTAGGTGCCGGCTCTGTCTGACCAGCCTCCCTGTGGTCGGATTGGCATTCCACAGGGAGTGACAAGACAGTTGGATTACCAATTAAGCTTCTGAAATGCTATGGGATCAAAGTCAGCCTCACCAAGAGGCATGCAGTAGACACTGCTCTGGCTAGACTGAAGGAGAGCTGAATCTATGGCCCACTCTGACCCACCCCCACGTGGGGGGCGGGTGGTGGTGGCAAACAGAGATGGTTTCTGCTATATGAGACAGATGGAAAAAAATAAGTCATGGTCAACAGCAGGGTTTGGTGTCAGACAGAACTGACTGGGCCCAAATCCCAGAGCTGACTTTTACCATTTGTGTGACCTTGACAACCTTTTTATATTTTCAATCCTCAGTTTCCACAATGGTAAAAACCAGACTAATTATAGTACTTGCCTCCTAGAGTCATCCTGAAGAGTAAACAAGACAAATGATTTTAAAGTGCCTAACAAGGAAAGTGGACATTTCAGAATAAGTGCTCAGTGAATACTGTTTTAGTAATAGTTGTGGGCCACTTGACCTTACATCCAGACAACTATGGCCATTGTCTGCAGACTTCAGGATCCTTGATAGCTGCATCTGATGTCTAGACACTTCCATTGCAATGGGTGTCCTACCTACCCCCATATTCTCTACTGTCAGGTTCTGAACTCATGTGCATACAGCACACCTGGGAAGTTAGATATAAAGTGGACCTCAGCTCCACACTTGATGCACTCTTAATATCATGCTTCTAAGTAAGTTGCCAGTCTAGTCCCAGGGTATAATATTTTCCCAAATTATGAATCCTTTGTCAGATTAAAATAGACTCTAAATTCCATACCAATTAATTTAGGACAAAATATCTGTTTGCCAATTAGGATTCATATCTTCAGGAGCAAGAGTGGCATCATTACATGTGATAAAACTATTTTAACAACTGAATGAAGTGCCTCAAAATATACTGTATGCTTTATATTAAAGCCTGTTACTACTAACCCCCAAAACCCACAGCCATCAAAACAATTTTCATAGTGAGCCCAACTGAAAGGGGAGTTCTGTATCATATAGGAGAGACAGCCTCATCTTTTGCTCTCAGAGGGACTGGGATGTTCTAACTGCTGACCCTACGGTTAACACAACCCCCTTCACCACCAGGGCTCCTTCAGTTAGGACTACTTGAAGTCCTAACATAAATATTTGGGGCATTTAATGAACTAACACAAGCACTTGTTTGAATTGTCCTGTCAAGCAAACTCTGTTGTTGGCCTCTAGGCCTCATTTTTCTCACCTGTAACTAGAAAATAACAATAGAGCCTATACTTCAGAGGATAATATGAAAATCATGCCCAAGGATACTCACCCAGCGAGTGGGGGAACTCTGGAGGCTAAGATTTGGGGACCTTTTCTATAAATTCTTTGTCTATATGGCAAGAAAGTTTTTGTTGTTTTTTTTTAAAGAAGGCGATATACCAGTTACAAGAGGATCATATTCTTCTTAAATCCTTTTGGATCAAGGCAAATTATGAACTTTGTACAAGATTAAATAAAAGGATCCCCCTCCCGTTCTTTTTAAACTGGACGTCAGCATGCACTTCCTTACCACACTCATTTTCATTATAGAGAAGTAATAAATAACCCCGATCACAAATAGCACGATCCTTCATCAATCATCTGGGTGTCAGCTGTTCATCTGGGAGACGCTAAACAGGTGTCTTCTTAATCCCCAACGTGACTATCAATAGTACTGTTGGTGAATGCGAGACTAGTTGGTGTTCAGAAGGTGAAATGCCAAGTGGGATGACTCCACAGGGGTCTTTCTGAATAACTTAAAGCAAGTTTTCAGGTTAAACTCTTGGCTGAGCCATGTGACTTTAACCTGACTTCAATGACAACGACACAAGGATAAGTGAATTTAGTGTTTGTTTGTAAGGGCTTTGCCTCCCCATCTAGCTGCCCCTGGATACTGTGTCTTGAGTAGGGCCAAGAACTACTTACCCCAACAAATTTCCGAAGGAATTCCCGGGAGGCCTGGACATCTGGGTTGGAGAGTTCAATGAAATTTCCCATCATACCCTCTTCTGTGGCTGGCACTTCTTGGTAGAACAGTTTAGCTCTGGCATAGAACTGCATCTCACCGTTGATAACCTGGCTTGTCAAAGCATACAGTTTCACTGCAAATGAAATATTAAATTTTATTGACAGAACAAGCCCAATATTATCCAGTATTGAATTTCCTCCTATGAATGCATAAATGTGTTCTGTGGAAAAGAGGGTGCTGGGTTTGAAATCAGCATTTATTAGTTATGTGTTCTTAGAGAAGCTTCTTAGCTCATTTGATCTTCAAGGGTCAAATCTACAAATCACAATTGTATGGCACGTCCACCATTTAATAACCCTGTAGCTTAATAAGCCATAGATTATCATTGCATGATACAATGCTTAGCAGTGTTCAGTACAATAGAACAAAGAATGCCATCAGCTTCATGATGAATTTTATCTTTAAGTTTCAAATACTTTATGAACATATTTTTATCCATCCTTATTTCTAATCATGAAGTCGACTGGGTAGAGTTGTTTTTCTCTCTCCCTCAAGGAACACATATTCTTGTACTTATTGTACAAAAACATGCTTGAGCTCTACCTGCTGACCGTAAAACAATAAAAGGAGTATTATAAATGGAGTGTATCCCCTCAAAAGATGCTGTAGACTCCTAGCTCAGGTGTCTGTGGATGTAACCCTATTTTCTTATTATGTTGCCAGTGTCGTGAATGTCCTAAACTCGATCATTTCTGAGTTATAAAAAGAGCAAATTAGACCCAAATGGGAGCACATTCTGGTGAAAACAGATGGGAGGATCACCAAGAAGCCAGGAATGCCTGGGGCTATCAACAAAGAAAGGATCAACATAGCCTAAACCTTCATTTAGACACTTACACTCTAGACCAGTGGTTCTCAACCTTCCTAGTGCCGCGACCCTTTCATACAGTTCCTCATGTGGTAGTGACCCCCAATCATAAATTTATTTTCGTTGCTACTTCATAACTATAATTTTGCTACTGTAATGAATTATAATGTAAATATCTGATATGCAGGATGTTTTTCATTGTTACAAATTGAACATAATTAAAGCATAGTGTTTAATCACAAAAACAACAATATGTAATTATATATTGTGAAATATGTATTTCTAATGACAAGTAAATGAAATTTTGTTTTGAAGCATGGTATAGCATGGGTAACAGTTTTCATGCCAGGTATGTGGGCCTGTCTGCATGTGGGCGGACCCACCTGGAGACGGATAGAGGAGCGGTGTCTCTGTTCCTAAGACCCTGGGAAATATATGTTTTCCAACGGTCTAAGGCAACCCCTGTGAAAGGGTCGTTCAACCCCTCAAAGGGGTCACAACCCACAGGTTGAGAACCGCTACTCTGGACTGTGAGACAAGAAATCTCTGTTTATTAAAGTCAAAGACTTGCAATATTTGTGTAGCAGTAGTGCTAGATAGTTAAGACAAAGAGAAAGGAGCTCTGGAAGCTCAAAAGGTCAGTGATTTGGGCCACCAGCTCGGGAAGGAACATCTACTTCAAGATGAGACACCGAACACTGATTTCTCTACCTTCAGTACCCCCCCCCAATTATCATACCACACTAAATTCATAACAATGAAAACCAAGAGGTATTGCTATTTCACCAAATTTCTCAGATATAAAAAGGAGCATACGGAACAAACTGAGGAAGGTGCATCCCAGAGCAGTTACAGGAGGAGCTTACATTCTAAATGGAGAACTAACAAGTATCAAGTGTACGAAGGAGAACAGCACCTGAAAGCATGAGTGCTCATCAAGTCCGTCTGCAAAACAGCCAGGTAAGGATGAAAGGCACCCTCCCTGGGTAGCAATAAGTAACACAACAGTACTCCTAGGTAGGTAGAGTGAGGAAGTTTATCCTTTACATTTTTTAACAAATTGCCCAGGGACAACTTTACAGAGGTGAATATTAGGATCCCAGAACAGGTCTGACCTGGGCTTCCCCAGGACAAGTTCTTCAACTGCTGATATTCATCAGAGTCTGATAAGTTCTACTTGCATATGGGAGAGCTTCTAGTTATTTTCATTCAGAAGAAAGATGTGTAACCTAAAATCATTGACCTTGTTCTTCATTCATTAATATGGACAATTACCTTCAACCATATGAGGGGAAAATATCAGCTTGAAAGTATAAATTTAAGATAAGCAATCAGAACTGACATTTAAGGAAACAGAAATAATTCAGAAGACAAGAATTTAAAACAAAGCAAAGTAGACAACATTC